AGGAACACGTGGAGAGCCATGATTTCCCATGTCCTGAGGAGACACAGCACATGAAGAAAAAGAAATAAGTATAAAATGACCAAAATGTTGCTCATTTTCTTAAAAAAAATACACCAATCTTGACAGTATATATAATTTTCCTTTTATTGATATATATATTGACTTCAGCACACAATCAAAATCCTCCTTTTTTTTTTTTTTTTTTTTTTTTTTAAAAAATGAAATTTGTTAAAACTGAACATTCTTAATGTCATTTAAGAACAAAAACAATGAACTTTTTGGGCCAACCCAATATTACATAATCTATTAATCAATAGTATAATTCATAACTGAATTTGGATCTGTGTGATTTTACTAAATCAAACTTGTCAAGGTATTTGAACATCTTAACATTTTATTTTTAACCAGAATATGCTCATTGAAAATAAATAGCAAAAAAATCTTATTAGATGCTTTGAAAATAATAATGCCTCTTATTTATCCATGAAAACATATAGGATACACAATAACATTTTGGATAGAGCAATTTTTATTTTTCACATAATCATTACCATTTAGCTATTTTCATCAGTGATGAACAAGAGCCTGCATGCCATGCTCATAAAAATCTGCACAAGCAGAAATAATTTACTTTTTACAGCAGTGATATTTGAATGTTGAATTACCCACTGCCTGTGCTCATATCCACTGTTTGGTCTCTGTAAATGTTCAACAGTTTGAGAAATGTCTGTTTTATCTTTACTTTCATGTCAGATACTATTTTACTATACATCAGCTCAACTGCTATTTGTAACAATGCAAAAGAAATTATTGGTTATTATTATAAAAGTTCAACCTGTACTAGTGGCTACCAACATAATAAAAATAGGAGGCATTACTTTCAGAGTGACTCTTGTACCTGTATCTGTAGGATTGTTTTGCATGTTTTTGAAATATAACCAGTAATGTTTAACTTTTTCTTAACTTACAATAATCAACAATATTCATTTTAAAAATATACTATATGAAAAATTATTTTCAATGTGTAATTATTACTGATTAATTTTGCTTTTATCTTTTTTTAAACATTTTTTGTATATAGCTAAAAATAGTAAAGAAATTGCTTCTGTTATACAAATAAACCTTGTCTTACAAGATATTAGAATACATTTATACAGCATTCATTTTTCTAACCTTTTAACTTGTAAAAATATCTTCTGTTCTATACCAATGTATTTCAACTTTGAGATAATGTGCATTAAAACTATTATAAGTTAGTCCTGGATTAAAATTTTTATTCAGTAATGTTATAATTTTTTTTCATATGTATTTTAATGTAAAAGAATTTATTATATCACCTTCAGTTATCAGTTAATTAAATTATATTATTTTTTTGTTTAATATTTCCCATATTTTTATGTGGAAAAATGTTTAAATTTTTAGTTCTATGAAGACTATATAGAACTAATATATGAAAATAGATCATAATATTGATTTAACATCCATAAATATTTGCCTGCTTCTAATTTTTTTGTAGTCTGTTAAATTTTTTATTGTTGCACATTATAAACCCACTTTGTAATTAGAATTGATGTTTTCCTGATTTATTTGTTATTTAGATTCATTCAGATGTAAATGATTGAATTTTGTAGCTATTGTTACAGGGAATGAGGTAGAAATTGTATTATTTCATTAGAATATATTAAATAAAAACTTGAAAGAAAATAAAAGCCTTTATTGGCAATATCACTTTTCTCAATGAGCAGGAGAAAATGAATTTTAACTTTGAAAAAAAAATTGATTTGCTTTAACAGTTATTAATTTATCTGTTTTTAACATAATCTTACAACTTAAAATAGATTATTTTTCTAACTTATTATTTTAATTGTAAAATCTTTTATACTGCAATTTGTGCTTTGTCTCTGAAAAACGTTTTTGGAACTTTAATAAAGAATAAAACTTGCTTGAATTGAACAAGTATAATTTTTCTTCATTTTTTTCCCCCCCATTATTTTTGTGGTGGCAAAACATTGTATAGCACTGATATTTAATCTCTCTTTAATGTGGAAAGAAACAATGCTGTTTCTATATTCTCATGTCAATGCATTACTATTTATGGGAATTTATTTAAAATTTTATTTTGCATCATTCTAGATATGATGAAAAAATATGAATTTTTTTTTTTTAAATTAGCTTGGATTATATTGAATTGGCATATAAAGCAATAAATACTTTTTAACCCTTTAGATAATTGTACTGAAAGTTGTATATTCTGAGCAAGAAAATATGAGATTTTAGAACTATTAGAAAAAAAATATAGTTGATTCTTTAAAATTAATCAAGAGTTTGACAAATTTCAATGACTCCTTCTTTGAGTGAAGGGAGATATCTTGATGTATAAAATGTCAAATTTGCTTCTAGATTAACTATATCCTTTCATTTAGGGATTTTTCTTTCGTTTTTTTTAGTAAACTGATAATCAACTAATTTCATTAGTTCATTTCTTTAACTCTTAATAATGTATGCATTACTACATTATCTTTTCCACCTAAGTTAGAAATAATTTTTAGTTTAACTATTTATCAAAAAATAAATGATTACCTCTAGATCAAGTTAGGAATATTAATAATCAGTCACAAAAAAAAATCAAAAGTATATTAATTTATGCTATTCACTTGAGATCTGTTTAATGAAGTTAAAATTGGTAATTTCTGTCTAAATACTTTGATACATATGGCCTGTCTAATCATGTTGTAGCATCTATTTTTGATTGTGTGAAAGGGTTATGTATATAAATTAATAAAGAATAAAATTAGCTTAGAAAATATACATTTTATTGTCATTGTGAATAAATATCAAAATGTTATAAAAATAAAGCTTTTTCTCTCGTCTTAATCAAATATTTATAACTTACAAGTATGTTAGTTTACTTTTTTATTTTTAAAAATTGTCTGGTAGTAAAAGCTATTTGAATTCTTTCATTGCCAGTCAAAATCTTTAAGTTGAGAATTTATCATTATTCAATACCTTGCTATTTGGACCAGCATACTTGTGTTTTGGCCATTGTATACCTACAGCCTTCAGGTGTTTGTTGTACACCTGTCAAGTATATCTGAGGAAGCACTGCTGAACAAGTCTCAAATTTGCAATCACCACTGATTTCTAGATATAATGGCTCTAACTGAAAAGGGTCATTTGAGAATTTATAAAACTCAGGTTGATGAGTTGGGATGAAAAATGAAGCAGTCATTGGAGAAAGCCAAGCCTCCTAAATCAAATATCACAAGAGGAAAACAAAATGGCTGCAGAGTAATATTGAAATTCTCATAGTACCAGCAGACAGTGGTAATGATAGACAAATTGGAATACTCAGAAAAATTGGGTAACCTAGTTAGGGATGATAACTATAAAAAGGTAAAGAAGGGTCAGACTCTGAAAACCAATTGGGAAAGAATAAAGATGACTTTACATCTGATTGAAGACAGATAACTGACTCATCATTATAGTAAGCTATTATATATACAGTGTTTCTGAAATTCCACTGAGGCCCATAGTTAGTTGTTAAAGTTCAGTTTGTCACCTGCTGAGCAGATTTCACATATGTATAATTAGTCTACTAACAGGTATTTCTTTGTCAGATGTAAAAAAACTCCAATTTTATAGAGTCTATCAGATATAGTGAGCTTGAATATTACGAGTCTATTGACTAAGATTCATACTGATGAGACTCAGTTGTTCACTTGTCTAGGAGAGTGAACAAACATTCTGATAGATGTTGACATATACCAACAGGAAGAATACTTTGCTATGAGATAACCATTGTCACTAGTAATGATAAACATGGATTAATTTGAGAAACTGGCTGTAGAAAAATCACCACTAAAGCCAAACATGTAGTTTAGACATGTAGATAGCATCTTCATACTTGAAGTGTGAAAATAATGCTGGACTATGTGAACTCAATAAGAACTTCTATATAATCCATAATAAAAATAGAAGCAGCTCAACAGTCATTGTGCTTATACTAATAACTCACGCAGAGTATGAGTTCAAGACATACATAAATCATAAGCAAACTTTCACTAAACAATACCTGAACTTTAGTTCCTACCATTCATACAGTGTCAAAGAGATTGTCTACTGCCTACAACATCAGACCAAACTCATAAGTGGTGACACAGATGCATATCAAGAAATATTCAGCATTAGAAACACCTATCAAGGTAACAATTACTCTGTCAGCATAATATCAGCTTTCATAAGCATGGACAGATAATTCAAGGACAACAATAAAAAAAAAAATTGCCACAGTCTGTCTACCATATATAATGGCTACATCTGAAAAGATACAAAGGATCTGAAGTTCATACAACATCAAGATGGTATCTCTCTCAAACTAAGCTCTTCTTGGAAGAAAATATGATCAAGAACTGTATGAATTAAGTTCCACTCCCTGAGTTTAAATCTCCAAAATTACACTTCTGGATTGTTCACAAGAACAAAGCCTTGTTGTTTAAAGTTATGGTTAAAACATATCTGATTCTTTGTCAGATTTAAGTTCAATTCTTGTTGAAAATCAGTGAAAGAAATGGACAAGTAATACAAAGATGAATAAAACTGATGAGTATTAACTTTTATGAAATAGTCCTCAAATATAAAGGTTGCTAAGGTTAACAACAGACATCTGAAAAAAGCCATCGAATACAATGATTGAAATAGCAGTATGCTGGCTGAATAGCAAGTCATATAATAAAAATTTAAATTTTCATATTTTTTTTTTTTTTTTTTTTTTTTTTTTTTAGAATATATTTATCAACTTGGCATTTTTGCATCTTAATTGTTAAGATATTGTTTAAGTTTCTTAAATGCAAAATAATTGATATTTCAAGTGCATGAATTATAGTTTATACATAAGAATAATTGATTGCATGACCTAAAATTTTATAATTGAATTTTCAAGTCTTTCTTGAATATGTGTTTTTACATGAGAGCAAAGCACAATCCAATTTTCTTCTGACCAGGTTTTTAGCTGGTGTTATCCACAGAGAACGCATTCCTGCTTTTGAGCGTATGTTATGGCGAGTGTGTCGGGGCAATGTCTTTCTGAAGCAGGCAGAGATTGAACCCCCACTTGAAGATCCAGTCACTGTAAGTGTTTAATTTTTGTTTTATATTTTAACTGTCTACTGAAATCTCCCTACCACTTCATGAACATCCTAAAACCATTTTTTTTTTTTTTTTTTTTTTTTTTAATAAAACCTATATTTTACATGTCAAATGTACCTTCATGAGAAACATAGAAATTTACATTACTCAGTTCAGATACTCAAAACTTCTAAAACTACAAATATTAAACAGCTGCATTTTTCCCTTGCAGAAAATGCTAAGGAAATAGTTTTCAAAAAATCCTTTATCATCATTAAAGAAAACAAAATTGGCTGCTACCTGTTTGCACTTCTGCCCAAAATTTGGTTTTGACCAGTCAATGTATGGCTATTTTAGAGAGTGTGATGGACAGACTAATCGAAATCACAGAATTTTATATATAGATAAAGATGTTTGTATGACTTGAATTAAATTTACGTAGTGACCAGCAAAGGATTCCAATAAAAAACAATTATTTGGTCAGATTTTAGGAAGTGGGTTGGATTGAGAACTTTTCAGTATTCCCCTTATATAATCAGCCAAGATCAGTATTCAGTATCTGGAATTTCTTTCAAAAGAATTAATTTTATCTGGTGGTGTGTGTATGTATGAGGGTGGGTAGCTAGCAACAGCCTGTTTTTATGTTACAGAAAGCAGTTGCCACACTGCTGAAAACTACCTCCCATTTTCAATACAAGAATGAGTTCCAGAAGAGTACTGATAATTGTAAATATTTTTACAAACTTATGACATGTGGTACTGTAATGGTAATAAGTGAAATGTCTGATACTCTTTCCACAATAATTTATAATTTGATTTCTAATTGAAAGCAGTGTATTCATGCTTCTGATCTCCTAACTATAGTCAACAACTCTTGTAATGCTCTTATTTATTAAGTTTGATTTTTCTTGTTTGTTTTTCTTATCCATTGTTATATTGGACTTGTCTCCATGTAAATTGTTGGTTTGAATACTACTTGGAATGATTGCAAAATATTTTCCCCTCCCCAAATTATAGGCAGAAGCACACAAATGTATGCTGGGATTTCTTTCTAGCCAATAAAATAGGCTGGTTCTCAATGATGTCTGACTCAGCCCCGGTCAGTCTTGCCTTGAAGTCAGAACGCTGCATGCGTTCATCCGAACTTGTTCTTGTGTTTCAATCCCAATTCTTAGTTTAACTTTTTGCCATATTACTGATAATTTGCCTTGCATATATTGTTTACTTGCTTTGTATTATTTTTGCCCTTTTCTTTTGCTTGTAATTGTTTATTGCAAGCTTTGTCAAATATATTTGTTGGACATTTCTTCCATTTATTTATTTATATTTAGGAATGGTCACTCACTCTGCATAAATAATCCATTGGATTTATCCCATCATATCAAATGCCAAATAAAATAAATGTTAAGAAATTTTTATTATACATTTAAATATGTATTTACTTTTTATTTAAATTGGTTTTATCAAAATCTTAAAATACACATCTTTTAATTTCCCAATTACTAGGTTCATATATTCTAATTATTTCATACCATTTTGTTTTTACTTTTCTAGGGAGATCATGTTTACAAATCAGTATTTATTGTGTTCTTCCAAGGTGATCAACTAAAATCTCGTGTGCGTAAAATTTGTGAAGGGTAAGTCTGGCTTTGATATTTTTTATTTTTGATGTCTTATTCTTTAAAACATTCAAAATAGTTATAAAACATTTTTTTAAATTTTAACTAGTTAATGCTGATAATAAAATATGGTTCACCTTTTAGTTGAGACTGTTATATTCTCTAAGTATATCACATTTGGTTTGTGGAGTGATACCTGGTAATGCTTATTGCTCTTAAGAAAATTCTGTCCTTACATTTCATGTCAAAAGTTTGACCAAATTGCTTCTATTCATTTATTTGGCAAGCTTGCAAAAGTAAAAAAATTAATAATTGCATTGGGCTGTGAATGTTCATACATTTAAATTGTGATGTCTTCTAGTCTGTGACATAGAAGTCCTACCCCCATGCCAAGTGACGGCTGACTCTATGCAAAATAGGGCAACTCCATTTTGCCTATGTCACTTAGGGTTAAGACATTTTTGTAACCCTATGTTCCTGTATCATAAATTAATGAACTTTTGTCTAAAGTAATGAAAAAAAAAATGCATTAATTTGTTCTTGAAAAAGCCCCCCCATCCCAAAAAAAATTGATTTTACCATATATGCAATAAAGGTAAAATGTCAAAATTTTTTCAATTTGCTAATGATGTAATTTGATAGTACTTATGTATTTTTAACACATTTAGCAGTTTGTAGCTATAGTATAACACAAACTTACAAATAGACAAGTTCTAGAAGATTCCAGAAAGTCATAGTACTACTATACTTATATACGATTTTAGAAATTTCATGCTGTAGGGTGACATTTTAAAAAAATAAACTGAATTAAACCCGTCTTCATTATTTTTTAACAAAAGTTCATTGAATTACAATACAGGAAATCAATTATTTTACAAAAAGTTAATGTAGTGACACTGTCACTACATTAAGCTTTTGTCAAATTTGGCATCTGATGTTGGAAATAAACATCCTTTATTTTGCTTAATACCAATATCTCAAGGAAATCAAGGACAAGCTAACTCAAGCAAAAGGGCTTTATGGAGTGCCCTTCAAAAGGGCTCCATAAAGCCCTCCTTGAGTTAGCTTGTCCTTGATTTTTTGAGATATTGGTATTAAGCAAAATAAAGGATGAGCAGCTCTATTTGGGACAAAAGAGCAGGGGTTTTTGCACTCTGCGCTCCAAAATTATTTGAATTTTTTTTTTTTTTTTTTAAACATTAATTTGTATTATTCAATAATAAAAAAAGAAAAGAAAGGAAAACCTGAGCTAAACTCCTTGAGGTGTTATTTTTTTATTATTATATATGTGGTAAATGTATGAAAGACAGTGAATGAGGAAGTGTGTGTGTGTTAGTTTCCATTTTCATGTGTAACTATTTCAACTTCTACCTGGTTTTTGGTAAAGAGGCAGGTGACTTTGACACCTAGGTGTTACTGTTCTGATGTCTGGGACATTTCTTTTTATTTGCAGGGTACAGTGTAGAAAGTCTTTGATGTCATTGTTTTATTAGATATGTATGTATGTATGTATGTATGAGTGAGTGAGTGTCAGTTAGAGAGTATAAAAGCTGTCTGTAAATATTGATGTGGGGGAATAAAGGTTTGAACTTTTTTATGACAAATTTTCATTGCTGAATGAATAAATAAACCAGTGTTTTCTTTTTAATTTACTGACAATTTACTTTTGTACACAATTTTGCCATTATTATTATCATCATTATTATTATTATTTAAAGAAAGTTATTAAAAGATAAATAATATCTTTACAGGTAATAACTTCCATTGGATTTTCTTGCCTATTTCCCTTGATATTCATCCAAATGTTGAACAAAATTGATTCTTGGTCTGAAATGATACTTTTGGTCCTGAAATAAAATTCTAATTTACTTTTTAACATATATAAATTGTTTTGTTTAAAAATTTCTTAAAATTAAGAAAATAGCCACTTTTAAGAAAATTTTCTTAAATCAGCCAAGAAGTTAAAATTCTGATCTATATAATTTTTTATTTAAAATACACCAGAATATTTTACTGACTGGGAATAGTAAATTTTATCATTTGGCTTTCAATTTATGCTAAAATGAAATCTTCAAGGATGCTTTTTCATTTTGAAATTGCAGGAGGAATTTAAAAAAAAAAAAATTGTCACAGCTTGAAAGATTGAAATTTCGAAAAATAGCTATTACTAAAGTTAAACTCCTGTTTATGATAAAATTTGTAAAACTAAATTTGTTACTTCTTGAGGCAATTCTTTTGGAGTTAGGAATGACATATGCCTTACAAGGAAGTACATTGGGAGAACTTTGGTATGTTTTTATGGGTAAAGAGTATGCTGACAGACTAAATGTTGGTTTTTATTAAATTTGAGTACCGAAATATCTCATACCCAGCTTATTAATTGCAAAAATATTCAATGTTTATGAAAGATGGTACATTTTAACTATGGAGCACCGAAAAAGAGCTGCTCTTATTTTAATGGAGTTGGAGCTGGAGCAGCTTCCTTTTTTTTGTGTGTGAATGGAGCCAGCTCCAATTTTGGGTATGTGAGTGAGCACAGCTCCAAAAATAGTGGAACGCATAAAGCCCTTCCCAGTTCCTTTAGGAATTTTTCAACAAGTCATTTTTAGATACTGTCAGAGCATGTATTTTTTTTTTCATAATTTTTATTCCAGTTTTAATACTTAATTTTGTAACATATTGTAACCTCTATGTTTGAAAAAAGATGGGTAAGTTTCATATCTATTTGGTGCTTTCTACTTTTGAACTAGTTTGTATAATTGATAAATTATACATATTTGTAAAAAAAAAAAAAAAAACTACCAGAAAATGTAATTACTTATGGGAAAGATGTTCATAATTGTTTTATTTAAAAAAACAAAAAAAAACAACAACAAAAAAAAAACGCTGATGAGATCATGTTAAAAAATGTGTATAAAGATGTCTTTTATTTATGTTTCTAATTCTTACTGTCTTTTATTTATGTTTCTAATTCTTCTGATTGTGCTGTTGATTTTTAGATATGGATATTTTTTTTATTTTTATTTTTTTTGCTGCTTTATTCTTCTTGATCTTGGCCAGTGCTGATCTGATGTCGAAACATTAAGTTTTAATTCAGATATGATGATAGATTATCAAAAGGAGTTATAACTGATTTTCAAAATTGAATAATAAAGGTTTTTATTTAATTTTTTTTATTCAACTAATAATTGGCAATAATTTTGTCAGTTAAGTTTAAGATATAAAAAATGTTGTAATGAACTCATATTTTATCCTCCCAAAATTTAACAGATTTTTAAAGTTTTTATTTTTATTCTTGAAACTATTTATTGAAAGCCCATGTTATCTTCTGTGGCAGAACTGATAAGCAGCTTGTCACTAAAGTAGGGATTTCTTGAATGCATGAAAAAAAAAATGAAAGAAATATGGGGAAACATATCTTTAAGTAAAAATTCTCTTTTTTCATGTAATTTGAGATTATTCAAACAATTTTTCTGAATTTCTTAGATGTAACATTTTTATTATTAATTATTAACTAATTTTTTATATCTTATTTTTGTTATGATTTTTTTAATATCACTATACTTAAGCTTTTTTACAACCATTAAGCAGCATGTAAGAAAATAACAGATTTATTGCTATCTGTTTTCTTCTTTAGATTCCGTGCAACCTTGTACCCATGTCCAGAGACTCAGGCTGAGAGAAGGGAAATGTCAATTGGTGTTATGACACGGATTGAAGATCTCAACACGGTTTGTATAAAAATGGAGTGTATCTGCTAGATTTTTCTGTAATATACAAAAATCTTGTTTTGAATCTCTCTCTCTCTCTCAGCTTTAAAATACTTTAAATATCGCAAATACTGCATATTGGAACAATATATTAGTTTTATAATGTCCTTTGTAATAAGTACAGCTTTTGGTTTTCTGATAGTGTCTCTATATTAATTCATTCTTTGAGTTGAAGGCAAATTCTCAAAGATAATAATTTCATCTCTCTTAAAGATTTCTTTTTATTATGATTTGTTGATTTTTATGTGGTTTTGAATTTTCATTTTCATTTAGGTTCTTGGGCAAACCCAAGATCACCGTCATCGTGTTTTGGTAGCTGCAGCAAAGAACATTAAAGTTTGGTTCATTAAAGTGAGAAAGATAAAAGCAATTTACCACACACTTAACATGTTTAACCTTGATGTTACCCAAAAATGTCTTATTGCTGAATGTTGGTGCCCAGTTGCTGACCTTGACCGCATCCAGCAGGCTCTTCGAAGAGGAACAGTAAGTTTTTGATTTTTTTTTTCTTTTTTCATATGCATATCCTTTCATGATATGAGCGATCATAGCTAACCACAACTTCCTCAACTAAGTAACTCTTGTCCCTTTACCACCCGTCTTTGTCTTTGTTCAGTCATCCATTCACTTAAATTTTCAAGCAGGTTCTTTGATGTTTCTCTTGCTGTCAGTAAGCCCTGTGAATCTTAAATTCTCAAAGCCCTTTCATGGTACATGTCCCAGATATTTCAGCTTTTTTTTTCCTGATTGTTAGCAGCATTTTTCTAACAGTTTCTGTTCATGAAACCTCCTAGATTCTCACATGTTCTGGCCATGATATTCTCAGTATTCATTGACAGAACCATATCTGTCACTTTGTAATTAGTGAGAAGATTATCCAACATTCACTGTCATATAAGAGAGTAGATATTGCATAACAGTCTAGCACTCTTTGTTTCTAATGACATTTTCCTATCCTTTTACACTTTGCTTAGTTTTTGATAGGTATATTTTTATGCACTTTAGAATTTCTAGGTTATGCTTTCCATTATCTGTTACTACGCTACCCAGATAGTTTCTGTATCTGCTTGATTTTGGCATTACCAGTATGTAGCTTGCAACTTGGGCTGTCACTTTTGCTGACAACCTTGCATTGTTTTCTTACAGTTAATGGCTAACCCTCTCTTCTTGCTTTCCTCCAATAATTTAACTAATAGTACTTTTAGTTATGCTGTTAAGATTGTTGATAATAAATCTTTGTAAGTCTTCTCCCCCATTTAGGATCATCTTACTATAAAGGTTGAATAAGTCTGGTAAGAAAATGTATCCTTGTTGTAGATTTCTTTTTAGTTTTATGTATTCACTAAACTTGTTCTCTGCATACACACTATTTGTTCCCAGTAGAGGTTATAGGTTACTCTTTCCTATGTAAATCAAGTTTTTCTATTTCACAGAGGTCTTTGTATTGTAAATACCAATAACCTTTTTATAATCCATAAAATAGGTATTGATCTTCCTGCATTTGTTTGCTCGCATAGCATTCTGATCATAAAAATTCCATTTCTTATTCCATTGTTTTGAACAAGACACAAAGTTTATTTTACCTATTTCTATTCTAATTCTCCTATGAGCTTTATTCATTAAAATTCTAATTATTAATTTACTTATGTAGCTCGTCAAACTGATTATCTGATGAAGTTCATGTTATATTTCATTTATCATTTCAGTAATTTTATCAATTGTGAAACTGTCTAAGGCAGTGGTTCCCAAATTTTTTTTTCTCTGGGCTGCATTTTTGGAATTAAAAGTTGCTCATGCCTCACCAAAATTTATGTGATAAAAAGTACATTTAAAAATAAAAAAACTTAAAGGAAGATAACAGTGGATTTGAAGTCAGAACATTATCATTGATAACTCTCTCCTCCAGTTTGTGAAACCTAGTTACTATATTCTTAATACATGATATAATGCAAAAATATCAAAATGATAAAATCGGTCAATAATTATTTATAACTATTTATACTGGGACTTATGCATGCAATTACAAGTAATCCATAATAATATTTTAAATTTTGAAATCATATTTATTTTTGGCATATGAATTTTTGAAACTATTTCTAAATCTTTAAATTTTGGTGAGGCATGAGCAAAAACTTGCTGTCCTCTTCTGCCATACCTATGAGATGCGCTGCACTGTTTGGGAACCACTGGTCTAAGGAATCTCTATTAGAATCCCATTTAATCCTGCTGCTTTATTCTTCTTGATCTTGGCCAGTGCTGATCTAACCTCCTTCTATATTTTATGTATTATGTTGCCTGGGTATACATGGCTGCAATTGTATAACTGCATATCCCTGTCTAGAAATGTCTGGCTGCATCTCTGCTTGCATATTAAGCTACCCCCCTCCATCTTTCTTATGGTATGTCCTTCGCAAATGTTTGATTGTTCTTAATAAGAGAATCCCATCGATAAAACCTTCTTGTTGCTGGGGATTAAATTGTTTCAATGTTTTAGCTATTCAGTAAATTTCCTATGGCCATAATAACTTTCAAATAGTATGGCATTGTTCACAAATCTAATAATCAAACAAAAACAGGGATGAAGTGTCAGAGCTTGATTCAAGTGCAAATGCATGAATACCCGCTCTCCCCTCCTCCTTCACATGTTTACTGTATAGCTGGGATTAATAAGAGGTACTTAGGGAATTTTTCTCTTTTAATGCTTCAATAATCCTTCTCAAACAATCTTTGAGGTTGTTCGAATGCCAATTTAGGATGGAATCATATGAAGAAACTATTGCCTAAATGGCAAAAGCTGATTTTGGACCTACTTTATCACAGATTTCATCCACTTAACTGAAATAATCTAAACCAAACATTCATACAAGACAATTTGTGTGTCATATGTAATTTACATGGCAAATTTAGGAAGCATTAGATGAAAAACCAGGGAGTTATGGCCCCAAAACAGGTTTTCTGAACAGTTTTTTGTGGTTTTTCATTGTATATGGGAAAACAAACAGGACTAAAACCACACTAGCTTGTTTCTTGCATGATGGCAAATTTCTTTTGATATATTTGAAGAAAAATGGATAAAAAATGAGGAAGTTATTCAAGTTTTTATTTTAAATAGTACGAAAAACCCTATTTTTTTTTTTTTTTTTTTTTTCATTTTTTTTGCAATTTTTTGTGAAGCCAATGTCGCAGGAAAACCATCAAGTCCTCTACATAAATCTTGTAACATAAGCTATGTTTTGCATTAAGTGCAAAGAACATCAGCTCATCCAGTAAAAATTTTGTTTGTGTGTAACTTTGCCTTGGTTTTTGCAAAAAGTCATACCCACCTTCAGTTTTATTGATTTTTCTGCCAAACCCGGGGTGGGGGCTGGATATTGAAAAGCTGGTCTTGACCTACTTTGGTAAATTTGCAATATGTCTGTACAATTTCATTGAAATTGGTCGAGAAATGTGGACATCACACACACACACACACACACAATCATCTTCTATTTTACAGATATAGATAAATTATTCTCCTTTATTGTCATAGAAGTGCTCTGTGATGCATTTGTTATGTCATTCTCTTTTTAAATTTTATGCATCCTGCAAAAGAAAATGTTTTCTGCCCTGTTATTTCTTTTGTCTGTGTGTATGCCTACTATGTCTATTGCATTTTTTTTCAGATTCTGCACATTTCTCATTCATCCATTCTCTTACTTACTTGAACTTATTTCTAATGTTTTTAATTAACATCCTAAATTTTACACAATTTCTAGGACTATCATAATGTAGCCTTAGATGTGTCTGCATGCCTGAATCAGGTGGTTTTCATTCATATTAGCTATTGTAGCCTTCAATAAATCTTTAATATTGTGGAGCTGCTCATTGAGTTCCCTCTTTACAGCACATCAGATGTAGTAGTCTAGAGCAACCTTTTTAACCAACGGCACACCTAGGAGCAAATGAAAATATCATGGCACACTTAGCAAAATTTTTAAAGGGTATACATTTAAATGTTATGAAATAAAACCATGTACTTTTTAAAAATACATACACAAGTATGAAATAACTTTATTTCAATGTTTCTATTGGACTATTTGTGCAGCTTAATAAAAAAGTTAATATTCATTTATTCAAATAAAGGAAAATTTAAAAAAGTTAAATGAAAAAAAGAAAAATGCTTTTTAAAAAAATAAATATTAAAACAAAGTATTTAAAATGACACAATCAAAGAATAATGAAAAGAATTTGCAAAAAAGTTTAATACTTATTCATTTATTCAAATACTAATGCTGTGCCATTACTACTTCCACACACACTTATATATGCATGCCGTGACAATATTTTGCAGCACAGCATTTGAGAATCACTGATCTAGAGGATTCAAACCATAAGAACTTTGAGTCCACATGTTGGGTATCATATGAAAATTCTTGGCTAGCCACTCCTAGGTCATGAGCAGAGCACTGTTAAAACATGTACAACACTGGCCTCAATCTAGGGATTGACCACTGTGTCCAGGACTTTGATGTAGGTGGTTATGTTGTTTTGGAGGTTGCTCTGCAGAAGATGTGGAGCAGCATGGCATCACTATTGTTCATGATGCGAACTTGGTAGGCATTATTGTGGGTACCACCATAATGTCAGCACAGATCCACCTGTCATTCCACCTGATTACTTTCAATAAGCTGGCTACATCAGAGTTGCTGTGTTTGGCAACTAGTGTCATGAGTATGATGTGCTATTTAATTTGCTGCCTCGGATTGGAACTACCATGTTAATGCTCTTGATGTCTGAAAGAAAACAAAAGTTAAAATTTTACATATGCTGTAAATAGTACATAATCTTGTGTTAGATCAGCTTCCATTTATGGTTCACTAAAAATGTTTTCAAATGCCTGTTGCATCCTGTATATTCCCCAATGAGGAGGTGATTTAGTGAAATTGTTGTTCACTCTTTCTATTTTTTTCTTCATAAAATTATTTTATGATTTTTCTCTCTCTCTCTCATAGGAAAGAAGTGGAAGCAGTGTACCTTCTATCTTGAACCGAATGGTTACCAAACAAGAACCACCCACCTATAACCGCACCAATAAGTTTACAGAAGCATTCCAGGCTATTGTAGATGCTTATGGAGTGGCTGCTTATCGTGAAGTTAATCCTGGTATGCTAATTGTGTTGTAATAAAATAGATTTTCTGCAATTTTGAATTGGGACTTTTGTGAATATTCAAACATGATACAAATGAATCTTATGAAAAATAACTCTAATAATTAAAGTGTATAAATCACATGCCAAAATTCAGATTTTTAAAAATATTTTCATTTTAAAGACTTAAAGATTTCTATTTTAAGTATCTGAAAATTGGTCAGCTATTTTGACATTTGTTACACTCCTGGTACAAGTCATGCCAGTTTGTGTTATACTACTAAAAAAGAGAAAAAAAGATTAAGTACTAATATGAGACTAATAGATTAGATTGATAATTTCCAACAGAAATTTATCAGATTGATACATGTGACCAGTGGAATAGATTTTAAGTGTAAGTGAATGTTAGGTTCCAGAATGTTTGCCAATTACTTGGTTAGGCATTATTCATTTCCGGCTTGTAGTCACAATTTGGAAAGCTGAGTTTGAATTCAAGTTAGGTTCATTGTTCACATACCATTCGTAAAGTTATGAAGCCATCTCTACAGGACTTGTATCTGAAAAAAAATCATTGTTCTCAAAAAATTGTTAATGTAATATTCACTTACAAAAAAAATCCTTACAATCCAAAATATATTTCAGTTTCAAGAAATAACACTAAGGGTTGATAAGCCTTAAAAAATCAATCAGTATTCATTTCTGCTCTCCCAATTTTGTCTCCCATTTTTACTGCTTCTTAATATACTCGTAAGTCACAATGCTACAGTAGATTTTTTACCTCCTATATTTCATTGTAATTTTTATCTTAAAATCTTTAATATCAGAAATCAACAAACATGAAGCTTAATCTTGGCATTTGCTATTTCCATAATATAGTTCATTGCTGCATAATTTCCTGCTTTTACTTGTGATATTTGTAACAAACAATTACAAAGGGATTTGATTTTAACTTTTAAAAACAGCTTTATTAAAGTAGCTTTTTTGTTGTTATATGCAAACAAAAATGTAAGTTTCTTGAGATTTATTGTTTTCAATTTCTTTTTTCTTTTTAGCGCCATTCACCATTATTACATTTCCTTTCTTGTTTGCCGTGATGTTTGGAGATGCTGGTCATGGTTTCCTTATGGCACTGTTTGCCTTGTGGATGATTTTAAGAGAGAAAGTTCTTTCAACTAAAAAGGGTGATAATGAGGTAAATAGTATATCCCTCTCTTTTCCAGAAAATATCATAGACACTTCAATATTTTTTGTTTAAGTAAGGACTGAATGTTAGAAAAGAGTACTTAATGAAATTCTATTGCTATGGAAATGGCATGTTATCTCTATCTATAAAAGGCAGGATGTGTGTGTGTGTGTGTGATGAATGCACGGCTGCAATTTTTGACGGATTTGCACCAAAATTTACATGCACATGCTCCAAGTTAGCAAGAAGGCCAAAACTGACTTTGTATTTCCCAACTCCCATCGATAGTGGAAATAATCATGCTTTTACAGCAGTTTTCATGTAGTTTGTGGCCATTTTGTACTGGCCAGAGTGAGAGCCTATAGCTGGCTGCCACAAATAGGCAGGAAGATTCTATTGGCCAGTGTGAGAGCCAACAGCTGACTGACACGAATGTTAACTAGCATGCTAGCATGCAAAAAAAAATTGATAGCTGCATTCGTCACAAGTGGGAAAAATTTAAATCTGCATGGCACTTTACTCCAATTGGCTCATTCGCTTGCTTAAACTCAACATTGATTCTGATTCTGCATAACTGGGTTAGGTGTGAAAAAGTATTTGTTGTTAACATTCTTTTTTCATTCGGTTTTTCCAGTTACGAGTCCTTTTTTAAAGCTGATCATTTTGTGTTCATTTTGTTTAGTTCTTTTTTCGTAACAGATTTAATGTTTAGTATAGAGCTTAGAAAAAATTTGCAGTGTGAGATAGGCAAGAAGTAAGGCATGTAGCAACATCAGCACTGCAAAGGGCACTCCTTTAAAGGCAAGGAAGGGCAAAAATATTTTAAGTCGAGTGATAGCGATTGCTGTATGATTCGTATGATTTTTGAATCAACCACAAGCAACGCCTGGCCATGCTGCTAGTATATATTTAAAAATTATTATTGAAACCTATTTTGATATTTTTTTTTTTTTCTCTTTTTTTATAAAAATCAATATTTTCTCAGACATATGATATTCTCTGCATATGCATAAGATGTTTATTCCAATATATAATTTAAAAAAAAACTATGTTCGTGATTCATTAGAACCATTCTATCTGAATTACTCTAAACACCGCTTTTTATTTTTTATTTTATTTTTTTGTAAAGGTGATGCAAAGAAATGTTGTAAACAAAATAACAGTAATGTTAAAAACAAATTTAGATTATTTAAAATTATTTACTGGATGCCACATACTATTGTGGAAGGTTAAAATATGGACAGTTTGAAACATGGTTGAAGCAAAAATGGAGATGCTAATCTGGAATAGCTTATTAATCTATGGATGCTAATCTGGAATAGCTTATTAATCTATGGATGCTAATCTGGAATAGCTTATTAATCTATGGATGCTAATCTGGAATAGCTTATTAATCTATGGATGCTAATCTGGAATAGCTTATTAATCTATGGATGCTAATCTGGAATAGCTTATTAATCTATGGATGCTAATCTGGAATAGCTTATTAATCTATGGATAGCTGCAATTTTATGTTTGTTATTTGATGAATTGTATTTGTCTGATAGTAGCTGATAATGTGAATTGTATGTCATTTTTCTTTTTTTCCAGATATGGAATACATTTTTTGGAGGTCGATACATCATTCTCTTAATGGGTGTTTTTTCTATTTATACTGGGTTGGTTTACAATGATGTTTTCTCCAAATCTCTCAACATATTTGGGTCTTCATGGCATTCAAATTTTACAGGCCGGTAAGTAAACTAAATGTTATAAATAAAAATGAAGGATTTTCACCATCTTTCTATTTGATTTATATGTAATTGATTAGACTTTTTATAGGTACAAACAGGTACACCTTGCAGGCACCTAATACAGATGATAGCTAATGAAATTAGTGTAAAGAACAGCCTTAGTCTTAAAATGAAAGTCTCCTAGTTCATATATTTATGCCTAAACTGCTCTAACACAATCACAACAATAGATTTTTGATGCTCATTGAAGCATACAGTGAAAAGATTCAACTGCTATTATGTTTTTAAGGGTTTACATATTTTATTAAAAAATATTAAAATTTACTTGTTCCCAAAATACAAAAATATATTTTATGGTCGTCTTTTGTGATTAAATTATTTTTGGTAACTGTGACTAGATTAACTTATATGTTAATGTTATATTTGTTAACATCATCACACAAAAATATTTGTTTCATTATCATTTACAAATTGTCTTGAATTGCTGATTCACTGCTGGATTAAGACTAGTGATGGGACGATACCAATATTTTTAGCAATTCTGATACAATTACCAATACCATTCTAAATTTCTGATTTCAATATGATTCTGATTCCAATTCAAAGATTAAAATTCCTTATTTTCAGGCCGTACAGTTGGTTTGAAAAACTTAATGAACAAAGTACATTTATTAATAAAACGTTTAGTAGAAAAATGAATACAAAAGCTTATGCAATAAAGTTAGATATCCTTTTTATTTAAAAAAATTGGGTAAGTTTAAACAGTAAAGAGAACAATTTCTATATGTAAATCACTTAAGTACCTAGCTACAGTTGACATATTGCTTTACTTGGTTATCATCTGAAATCTTGAAAAAGCTTCCAAACTTTTCTGGTTGGCATTGGATACACTTGCCATAATTGGGGTCTGAAAATAATAAACATCAGTTAAAATTCAAATTTTTCACTTAGATAAAAATGTTTCTAGTTTTCTGATGTGTATAATTTGTAAAGATTCAACTAATAATGGTTTGCTAATAATTGTAAAATAAAAAAGTCTATTTTTTGTCCACCTTTTTAAGTTTTAACAAGCAAAGGCTCCCTCTAAATATTATGTAATCTTAAAATTTTATATGTGAAATTTTTCTGTGAATGGAACAAATTTAGGGGTGACAATTAAATTTCAGCATGTGCTTCAAAAATTGTTGTTTAACTGTTGCATAAAGTACTAGGAGTATATAATTCTGCAGGACAGTGAATAAAAAATAAATGCAAATTTTAAATTTGCTTACAGATGTTTAATATGAATTGTCTCAGCAACTTAATAAATAAATAAATGGTCTTCAATCTCATCTAAAAAATTTAATCATTAATGAGTTTTCTGTCTAAAATAAATTTCACACAACTAAAAAATTTAATAATTTCTAAAAAGAATCAAAAAGTGTTTTATTTTTGTTAACAGAAAAAAAGAGAAAGTGTAACAAAACAATAAAAACATATCCCTTGTTTTTTTTGTTTTTTTTTTTTTTAAAGAGATATAAGCAATTTTAGCAAACTTAAAAAAAAACATAGGGAGTTGAAAGCTAAATAACGCTGATATCCAGCTTGATCATTTTATAAAGTATGAGATTCACCTGTTACAAAGCATTAAAATAAGATTGAAAATGATTAAACGATGAAAAATTAAAGGATGAGGACAACTGTAAATGTGTATTTTTGCATGGGATCGTTTTTGTTGCTGTTTTTTTCTTTTTCTTTTCAGTTATTTATTAAATTAGAAGTTGAAATTTTACTAGTTTTATTTTTCAAATATCTAAACAAATCATGTTGAAAGTGGAAAAAAATGGGATAAAAATCTTTGTTTTTAACTTTTTTATACACTTATAAAACTTGCATCTCATTTGGTTCCAAGGAGGAATAAATGAGAAAAAAAAATGTTCAAAATATTTAAATGCCATAATAATTTAACACAGTTCAATTATGCCAAAGAAAAGTATTGGTAAAATAAAATTAAATACAATTTTTGATGGCAATTAAATTTTGTATTTTTTAATACAAACTTTTGTGTGAAAAAGGTTTTTTTCAGGAAACTTCAAATAAAAGTTTATTTTTTTTAAGTAAATAAAGATGAAAATCCGTTTTGAAAGCTATGTTCATAGAAACAAATTTAAGTTGCATAAAAAAAATGTTTACTTTTTTAAGTCTTGATTATTGAAAAGAAGATTTATTTTTGTTTATGTAGTATGCTGCATAAACAAAAATAAATCTTTTCAATAACTGAGACTAAAAAATGATTTTATGAATTAAAACTATTATAAGATCAAATTATTGTCACCATGATACCAGGTCAATTTTTTATGTGAAGAAATCAAATGTGACATTGGTGAGAATTCCATACATATATTTTTTCTTTTTTATAAATTAAAAAAAAAAAATAATAAAAATTGTCTTAAAAGAGAGCCTGGCAGAACAACAATGTGAATTTATTTTGTGTTTTTATTACATAATTTTATTAAATTAATAATTTATAATATTAAATGGCTGAATTAACAATGTTTAAAAAGAAATTAAAAATAAAAAGTTTATTTTGAACTGAAATAGACTTTAAACTAGTGAACTTTATGGAAAGTTCAAGAACTCAGTAGAAATTTGTTCATTTTTTTTTTTTTTTTTTTAATACACACAAGTAAAATAAAATTTACATCATACTTAACTTAGGTCTTCTTATGGTCTATAGATTTTAGTTTTACTGATAGTTTATAATCAGTAATTATTTTTGTATCTTTTTATGATTAGTACCAGGAATGGAAAATTAAGTTTTAAGCAAAACAAATTCCAAAGTATCGTTTTTGGAATTGGAAATTAGGTTAAAGATTCTCTGATGCCAATTCTGATACACCAAAAAGTTCCGATATTTCCGATTCTCAATTCTGATTCCAATTAATCATTCCACTAATTAAGACCCAGAACAAAAATTTCTTACCAGATATCAGCTGCCTCAAGAATAAAAAAAAAAAAAAAAAATCTTGGGAGATTAAACTACTTTCAAATGGTTAAGGAATAATTCAATGTTTACATGGGGCACCTATTGTACTTGAAATACTTAATTGTTTACACCTATTGCAAATTTGACTAAGTAGGATTTCCCTTTATTGATCTGCTTCTTTATAAATGTGATACTGTTCACTAGTTTGGTATTTTTTTCCCTATAATATGACATCAATTTAAAATGAATTCTTGCAAAAAAAGAAAAAAGTTCAATTTGTGAAAATGAATAAAAATAGTTTGGGTGAGGTTGTCACTCACATCATATCAACAGGGATAGCTTCTATCCAAAGGAATAAGATATACAAGGAAATAACACTATAAGCATGTTAAGTAATAAATTAAATTTATATAATTTTATTTTTTTGTGTACTGGCATGTGTATTTTAGTTATGTGTTTTAAGGTTGCATGTAATAGAGGAAAAAAAGTCACTTTGCCTTATAACGAGTACCAAGGAGAGGAGATGGACGTCTTGACCCTTTGAGGGTCCATAGTGAAGAGAATGAGTTTGGCGTTTTTTGGTGCAAAATATCTGTTTTCAGGAAGGAAAACTTTGTTGCATGCTGGGAGAACTTTTATTATTTAGGTTTTATTTATTTTATTTTAAACAAAGTTTTGATGTTATGTTTTATTTTATTTATAATATTTATTATTTTTTGTATATATTTTTATTTATTAATAATAATGTCCCTACAACTTATCTAAGTTGCAAAGTAAGCATAAAAGGAATACGTTTTATAATTTTTTTTAATGTTACTTTTTCATTTTGTTTTCTTTTAGCAAAGGTCTGAGTATTGTCTTGAATCCTGCTGATACCTATGATAAGTCACCATATCCTTTTGGTATAGATCCTGTAAGTATCTAATTTTAAAATAATTATCAGTTTATATTCTAAAATGAATAATTTAATTTGTTAATGTCAGGCCTGTCTTATGGCTGAGATAGTTGCATATTCCCCACCAGTGACAAAATTGTTGTTCAAAGTATGAGATTGCAAATGTTAATAAAGTCAAACTGACTTTCCACATTTGGAAAATAGGCACATAACAATTTTTAAAATTCCATTTGGTCTTGTGCATTTGGTCTTGTAAATGTCAAGCACCTCATAAGGCCATATTTCTAGAACATTTTCTAACAGTAGTTCACTCTCAATGACTTGTAAGATAAATTTGCTAGCCAATGTAATGTCACAAGTGCAAAATGTGCAATGGATAAATTGTCATCTAAATTACACAAAAATGAAAATAGCACTGACATCTCATTTTAACAGATATATTTACCAAAATTACATGAAAATATCTTGAAATACTAAAGCGTAAATATATTCAGTAAAATCACCATTGGCTTCAACCACAACTTCCAGACAATTTCAGAGTCTCCTGCAACTCTTCTGGATGGATGGTTTCCTTGTTTAAGTTGATGAATGCTGCCATAATACTTGCCTTCAGTTCATCTTTGGTGTTACAAGGAGTTTTGTTGATCTTTCACTCAACTGTACCCCACAAATAATAATCAAGGGGGTTGCAGTCTGGCCAGATATAAGGGGTGACATGATCACAGAAATTGTCTGATAGCCATGACTACATTCTTTTGCTTGTCTCACATGGTATAGAGTCCTGTTGCCAGACAGAGGGTCTCCAGCAGCCACCTTCTTGACCCAGGGCAGCACTACCTCCTCAAGACACTTGTCTTGAGTCTGAGGCCCTGTGGGAAGATGAATGGAGGCATAACTTTGTCATCACTATTGATCACTTCAAACACCTTTGTAATCATCATTAGACTTCTCCAACTCTTTCGAAATCCTCAGTACTATCCTCAGATTAACACCAAAACACTCTGAAATGTTTGTATTGGAGCTTTCAGCATAAATGCCAAGCAGTACAACATGCCGTTTCCAAATTTCTGGTGGAATGAATTGAGTCATGGTGCTTTTTTTCTCACAGATGGTGCCCAACTGACCCTGCTATACTGTGAAATCGACAAACAACATGCATGCACAAAATTAAAAATATGAAATGGCAACAATTTACCATTGCACCCTGTATATATTCTACATTTCATTATGCCTATTAAACTTTTTATCTTCACTTTGTTTCTGATTATTATTCTTTTGCAATAACTTTTCCTTGGTTTTTCTAAGTGTTTGCTCTTTTAGAGAGGTCAAGAATTTACTCTTTCATACAAAATTAAAAATGTAAAATACTTCATGATTTAATTGCCCCTAAAAAGTCACCCTTAAGTTACATGCAGTTCTTATTTACTATTTTCTAAAATTGGCATATTTGTAAAATCCTTAAATATTTCATTAAAAAGTATAAGAATCCCATTAAAAACTTATTTGGCTCTATATAACATTACATTAAAATTAAAATCTAAAAAAAAATAAAGATTATGTTCCTAAATTTATTTCCACTAGTTGTTTGTTTAAAAATGTTGATATATTAAAAGAAATTATTACTTCAAATACATTCTTTGAGGTTGGTGGATAGAACTCCACACCAGATCTTTTGTTGTATAAAGAACATTCTGATTAAAATAGCATTAAAAAAAAAACACATATCAGAAGAAATGTTGTAATGAAAATCTCATTATTAATGCCTTTTTTTTTCTTTAAACCTTTTTAGATATGGCAGTTGTCACAAAATAAAATAACCTTCACTAATTCATTAAAAATGAAAATGTCAGTTATTCTTGGTGTTTGCCAAATGATGTTTGGTGTTGGATTGAGTTTATCAAACCACAGGTAAGATCTTTTGTTTCTTATTCTACATGATGGCCTTAAATTACCTGGAATAAAATAACTTTTCTTGCTAAATTTCTTTAACACATACTACTCCTCTCTAGTTGGAATTGTAAACTGTATTAATCATAAATCTAAACATTATAATCTTAATTATAAATTTAAAAGTAGATTATCAGTGAACAAGGTTATTCAAATGTTCCTTGGGTTAAAATAGCTTTCTGGATTATCATATTTGTTAAACTATTTTAATTTGCTATATTCACTTTCAATATAATAAATACAATGAATAAACAAGGGCATTTTTTGTTTTAATCAATTTTATGAATAGGATACTATTTTACTGCTTCTAACTAAAATGTGTCTTCTTTTTTATTTTATTTATTTAAAAGAAATAACATTAATTTTTACTTTTATTTAGGTTACTATAAGTTTCTAGTTATTTTTAAGATATTGATTCAAATTTATAGCTTATATATAATCATGAAAGTATTTTTGTAGCTTTCTATGGTTTTGCAATAACTTTTAATTAGAATTAAATTTTGTAATTAATTATAATTGAAAGGTTTGGAGAATTTGTCAATATTTTGATCTCATTAGAACCAGTGAGCTTACAAGGTATTGCATGGAAGAAATAGGACTGGAGAATATGCAACATATAAAAGAACTTCCCATATCATGATCATTTGCTGTATTATATTTGCAACATAGTGATGAGTGGTGTTATGTAACAACAAAATCATTTATTGTTTTTCTTGCTCAAGAAAAAGTCTTTTCTATTCCAATAACTCATTCAAATGAGTCAATTGTTCAATATAGCATTCAGCTGTAACAGGTTGTCCACTTTTTTAGCAATTCATTATAAATAATTGTCTTTGAATCCTACTAAACACAGAAATTTATTTGCTTGGTAGATTATACTTAGATTGAAATGTTGAAGGTGTTCTGGATGTAACCAGTTTCCTTCATTTTGGGTCACATAAAATTACTCTTTTTTTTTTTTTTTTTATTTTTTTTTTTTATGACACTTTATCCAAAACTTACTTTTCTGTGTTAAGTTAGAAGAAAACAAATGTTTAAATGTTTACCAATATTTTTTCCATATATAAAAAGTCATGTGTAATCCATTTTCTTCGCTCCTGAATTTTTCCTATGGCTTGTAAATGACAATACAATTGACTGGTTGCATGCACAATGAAGAGCCAAATATGCTTCAAAGACAGTTCTAAGATTTCCCTAATATTGCATGAAAGATAGCACCATGAACTTTGGTATCAATCTAATAATTATAAAAATATGCTTTTTTCATGCTTTCAATAATCTGTATATCTTACTTTTTAATTTTAATTACTAATAGGGGGAAAGAATACCCATAGTTTAGTAAGAATTCAGAAGTCATTTTACTTCATTACTTGAATAGCGGTGTGTATTCTAAGCCTTGTACTCTTTATGATTGCTTATTAAGACCAATTATTTGTTTTGCTTCAAAAAATGTGTAGTCTTTGTTTTATCATTACTACTGTAATTATTACAATTAATTAAAGCCTTGTTTTGACTAAAAAGAAAAATATTACAATGTATCATGTTGATGAATCCAGTAGTTGTTTTATAAGTTTGTTATTTCTCTTTTCAGATATTTTCAGAAACCATTAAATATAATTTGTGAATTTATTCCACAAATGATCTTTCTCTCAGCCATGTTTGGCTATTTGGTCATACTTATTTTTGTGAAATGGACGCATTATGATTCTACAACTGCTGGCGTGGCACCCAGCTTACTTATTGGTAAAAACATTTTATTATCTATGATTAAATTGACTAAAATCATGTTAGAAGTTTTTTTTTTATGTTTTCTTGCCATTTTGTCTTTACTGCCCAGTTTACCTAGGTGTTATTTCCTATTAAAGTTTTTTTTTTTTTATTTAAGCTTTTGTATTTACAGTACATACTTTTGGGTTCATACCAGTGTTTGAAAAGAAAAAAGTGATATTTATTTCCTAAGATTGAAACTATTGCCTACCCATATGTTACTAATGTTGTTATAATACTGCAGCAATTGTATTTGTGGTGGATATAATAACAACAAAGATTGAAATTATGGTTCTTATTTAAGACAGATCCTGGAATCGGATACTCTCTCATGAGATTATTTTTGTGCGTATGTAAATGTTGGCTGTAAATGATACAAAAGGAAAGAAACAAAAAAATTTAAAGCTTTTTTTTGCTACTATATATATATATATATATATATATATATATATGATCCATTGCTAAAGATGCCGGAAAATGGTTGACCCATATCTGGGCTGGAGTTGCTCAATCCTCTCTTTCTAGCCTTGACAGAGGTCAAGGTCGTTTACATGCCTTGTGGGATATGATTTATTTTCCACCTCACAGCCTCATTCCCACAAACACAATGTTGCAAGCTTATTGCTACTCTAACATTAGTTTCTTGGCAAATGTTTAGATGGGCTCCATTCTTTAGTTCCACCAGTTCAAATCTTTACATCTAAGACCTGCCATGCTATGTCCACATCCTCATTCACTCTGTATTCCAATTGTAAGGAGAAAGTTTTACTCAGTTTTTTTTTCTCCAAGAACTGTTACTTTGTGGAACAAATTCATATAGCTGTTTCTTTAGATACTATATGCTTGACCTCTCAAAATCAAAGGTTAATCATTATCTATCCTTATAATCTTCACTTCCTACTACCTTTTCTTATATCTTACACCTCCTACACACCTCATTTAACCTCTACCTTGAGTGGCTCTTGAACTTTAACAGTGTATATTTCTGATATTGTTTTGCAGCAAAACAGTCATTGTTTTATCGTTACCACTGTTATTATTACAATTAAGTAAATCCTTGTTTTGACTAAAAAGAAAAAAATTACAATGTATCATGTTGATGAATCTAGTAGTTGTTTTATATAACATTTTATCTATTTTGTTTTTGTCAGTCTCAGCCAAATTGAATTCCGCACAGACAATTTTATATTATTTATATGTTGTGTGGAATAAGTTTATTATGCACATCAATCTAAAAGCTAGACATGTTTTTTGTCAAAGCCATAAAAATGTAGTAGTAGCAGAAGCAGATATTGAAATTTTGCCATTTTTCTCCCACACTTCAGTTGTCATGAAAAAGTGAAGTAAAGCCATCTTGCAGTGATATTGTGTAGTTTGCAAATCATTCACATTACCACCTGAAGATGCTGTTGAGAGTGAAATTTATCTTTACTAGCTGTTCAAAGTGTGTAACCTGGTGCTAAAATTGGCTTCACCAAAATCTATTATTTGAAAGTAAAATCTGAACTTAATCTTTAATATATGATTAATATACATTTATACATTATTGGTCTAATGACTGAGAATGATGCTGTTGGGAGTTCTAAACTCTTGATAGTCATACTTGATGGTAAGGTCAAAGATGTGAACCCACACTAAGCATGACCAACGCCAAAGAACCCCAATAGGAGAACAAGCAGAAGACGATTACAACAGCTCAACAGTTAAACCAGCAGATGAAGAGAGCTATACATGATGGATATGCTACAGAAGGTGCCACTCAAAATTATAACAGTCTGTGGCACTCCATTGCAGTTTCATAACTGGATTCTGCATGTCTCATTCTATATGTGCCACAGAGGAAGGTCATGAAATTAAATGTGCGGGTTACTGGCAAGTTGAAGTCCACCTTAAACAAATTCATGTCATCAGCTCTATCTTCTTCTCTGATTTTCTTTCAACTCTTGCAAAGCCAAACAGCAATAGGGAATGGATGAAGAGAGTTTTGGTGAAACTCAAAGCTTCCAGTCCTGAACCTGCATGTTGGTGGTGAATTTAGTCATCAATGAATCAGCAAAGAAGAAATTAAATTTTTGGATAGGAGATAAAGCCAGTGACACTGATACATTGTTGTTTTCCTAAACCATTTTTATTACAAAGATTTGATGTAAACACAAATCTGCTTTTTCAGCTATTATCCTCATGACATATTTAAGATGGATATCAAGTGATAATTGTGAATGACTAATAATATAAATTCTTAGACATCTTTGTTTCTAATTTATTTTCTCTTCTAATTAAAACAAAGCCTTGACAGTGTAAAGAAAAAAGGTAAAGGTGATATAAGTTATCCAGATGTTTAGATATGAAAAGGTCTACTGACATACTATAACTTTTTGTATACAAAAATAGTCGGGGGTTGAAAATTTCATTGAAATATTTTAATATGGTTGCTTTTTATGAATTATTTTCTTTCCTGTAATAAGAAAATTACTTTTTATTTCATTTCAGGCTTAATCAACATGTTTCTGTTCAAATATCCTGAATTGCCTAAATATGAAGCCCCTTTCTATGCCGGTCAGGTAAGCAGCATCATTTTCTTTTTGAAGTTAACATCTACCTTTTTCTTTTTTTTTTTTTGTTTTCACACATATCTTTATTTAATATTAATTTAAAATTTTTGTAAAAGAAGCTGCAAGTTAGTGATTTGAACCAATTTTTATGATGACAATTTCAATTCATTTTTGAGAAAATTTATTAAGATATCCAATATTGTTTGAATGCTCAAATATTTGTATATTTATTGTCAATAACATTTCAGTGAATTCTTTTGAGCAAAATATTTTTTTTTTTTTTTACTTTTCCTGAATTTACCTGATGAGAATGAAACAATAGATCATTCAAAACATTGTGAACAGCATTTTTTTTTTTTTTTTTAATCATTTCACCCCCAAGCAAGGCACTAAAGTCATTACACGGGGTTACTGAGTGTAAAGGAATAAAAAGAAAGCATTATTAAGGAGTGAGAACAATAAAAAATAAATCACAAAGACCGTAGTTAATTGTTATCGTATTTAAATTTTTGAAGATCAAAGTTGGCTGGAAAGCAAGAAGCTGGAAGAGAGTTCCACAAGTGAGAAGTGTGAGAAAAGAAACTGTTAGTTATGGTTACGTCTAGCCAATTCAAGTGTAAATTGATGAGCATGCACGAATAGTAGACATAAACATGTAAGATAGATTTTAAAGAGAACAATTGTTTAGCACGACACGGTGAACCAATTTAGCAGCAGACCTAGAAAATTGATTCAATATAATCTTTCCACTTTGTCAGCAGAGAACATTAGCCTGATATGAATGGAATTTAGTCACTCTCCTGGAGGTTAACATCAGCCATGCTGATAGAAGGTGGAAAGGGGTCTCAGATGATTAATAGAAAGCAGTTTTGTTTTGGAGGCATTAAAATTAATGGCCATTCCTTGCTCCAGTTAACAGCAGATTTTAGATCACTTTTGAGATCAACTGCCAATTTGACCTTATTGAACTGATCAGACTTACTATGAAGACAGGAGTAAATAGTTGTCATCAGCATAGATACCGAGTTTAGTTTAACCAGGAAGGTTATGAAAATTAGGAATAATATTGGTCCAAAGATAGAACCATAGGGAACACTTGTATTAATAGAAAAAGATCTAAAAGAGTGACTGTTCAGGACAACTTTCAATTTGTGAATTGATAAGAACGATTGAATCATTTCAAAAATTCATCTAGAACTAATAGATAGTTATTAATGAAAATTAAGAACAAAGTGCAAGGAACAAGCCCTGGGTAACACCTGTATTAGTACAAAAAAGATTTAGAAGGGTGGCTGTTTAGGACAATTTTCATTTCATGATTTAAGAAAGACTGAATCAATTCAAAAGTCCATTCAGAAATACCATAGCCTTTCAACTTATGAAGACTGGTATGCCAAATCCTGTCAAATGCCTTTGAGATGTCCAAAGCAACAGTCCGAGCTTCTCCATTCTTATCTAAAGCTTGATAGACTCTTTCAGCAATAATTGTTAATACATCAGTAGTTGATCAAGAGAAGCAAAAGCCATATTGCTTATCGGAAAGAAGTCTCTGAGATGTGAGGTGATTAACCAGTTCAGAATTAATTAGAGCCTCTAGAATTTTGCCAAAAAGTCTAATAGGCCAATAGAAGGATCAAACAGTTCACTTGAGTTCTTAAAAACTGGAACTACAGAAGATGCTTTTCAACAAGTAGGAAGCAGCCAGGCATTTATTGTAAAGTTTAAAGAGAACAGAGGCCAGTTCAGGAGCACATTTCTTAAGGACTCTTGCAGAGATACCATCAGGTCCACATACATTGTGGGATCCACTTTAGAGATTCTCTTCTATCAGTAAAGAAAAATTTAGCCCCTTCAAAGACACATTTACAATTATTACATGCAGAGACAAATAGGCATCTGTTGTGATCAGAAAGAGAGATTTCAGTGTCCAAACAATGTTGGATTTTGTGTTATATACCATTTAAAACTGCACATTTTTGTCATGTTAATTCAATATAACATGATTAAACTCATTTGTAAATGACGTTTCTAGATTTTTCTCTCAATGTGTACATTTTGTTACTCTGAGCAACATGTTTATTGTTTCGTGTTTTTTTTTTTCTGTTTATACAGTCATTAAATTTTTCATGCATAACTTCAGCCAATTTTGCACATGTCAAACTTTTCTCTTAAAAAGTGACATTGATAAAGGCAAGATTGGCTTTGGGGATCATCACTTCAAGTTAAGTTTTGGTCATCAGTACGCTCTGTTGTTTATATGAAAATAATTACTGCAAAATAGTAAACTTTAGAAAAGTTAGCTGGGTTGTTGAAACTTTAGTATTGTGGATATACAGTTTATAAAATAATAGAACAAGAAGAATTACTCTTAAATAAAATCCAGTGGTTATCTTTTAACACTAGAAGTTAGTCCACATTTTGTAAGGATGATAGATTAGTGATCTACCTTGTTAGAAAAAAAAAAAGGAAAGAAAACAGCTGTATGTTGCCTGTATTTTTTTTGCCAGGCACCATATGTGGCTGATTGGCATATGCAAATCACTTTGCCTAATAAAACAGAGTGAGCCAGTTCTGTATCCATCTTAGTATTGTAAGGTTATGCTAGTTGACAGTGAAAGGATGAATTTTGCAGTGAAACAATGAATCTGACAGTGATAGCATAAGTTTTGCAGTGAAGCAACAAATTCAGTAACAATAGTTACAAAGCTTACAAGTGAGAGAATGGCTGTCAGTGTTACCCCCATTTTCAACAACACTTTTTGTAATGAAGGAATGAAACTGGATACATTTGATTATAAAGTGGTTTATATCAGAAATTGTTAAAGCAAAAATCCTTTTTTTTTTCTAGTATTTCATAACAAATGAAAGTTACATTTTCATTCTGTTACACTTGATCATTGTTGTTAAACTAAATACCCAGGAGAAAAGTATGTATTTTTCCAACTTCCACATGAACTGACAGTGTGTGTTCAAGCCCAGCTAAAGGCAGAACTATTCATTTTCTTTAAATACTTTAACATTTGTCTTACTTCCAGTAATCTTGAGTTATTTAACCTAAAAACTGATATGAATGGAATTTAGTAACCTTCTGTCTAACAGCTGTTATATCCAGGCACCTAATTGTGGAGTAATGGTTAACAAGCTAGTTTTGCATATCATTACTAGGGAATTACATTTTCATACTTATGGCCTTGTGCCAAAACTAAGTTCAGCTTCGTAAACATTTATGGGCACCTTGAGGTGGAGTAATGGCTAGCAAGCTAGTCTGGTTGGCCATTACTATTAAGTAGTGAGTTTGATCCTCACAGGGTGCCCAAACTTGTGGCCTTGTGCCAAAATAAGTAACAACAGCAGCTGCTATATCTATTTTCATTGATGACTCAGGAATGTTGTAACATCTATTATTCAATGTATATTACAGTTTATGATTTTTCAATTTATAATTTTATCTGCAAATTTATTTTAATAGGCTGGATTCCAAGGGTTTCTTGTGGTTGTCTTATTTCTTTGTGTCCCATGGATGCTGTTGGTCAAACCATACATGCAGAAAAAACAATACCAAGCACAACAGGTAAGTTTTAATTGTTAATCAAATATTGTCTACATATTTTCTAAATGGTTAGTTTACTTAAAATCAGAACAAAATAAATTCTAACAAATAATTATTTATCAATTATCTTGTCTATTTCTTATTTATATAAAATAATAGTTGCAAATATCTTTATATACAGAATGAATCTGTCATTTTGAGACTAATTGAAGGTTAATCCTTTTTTACCAATAAAATTTCATATATGTATTGATACAATTTTTTGTAAGATATTAATAAATGATAGATCTTTTAAAAATATTTTGAAATAACTATGCACTAAAAATATTGTAATAAGCTTATTATAATTATTTTTGATTTCATGAAACACTAGAGATGATTTTTTTAAACTTAAATTTATTTTGTTTTTATTTTTAATTTTTGTGAGTGTGATCATTTATTTTATTATTTTTATTTAATTCTATCTCCTGTTATTCAAATTTGCGCTTAGAAATATTGTTTCAAGGGGTCTTTTTATGTCAGTGGGTTATAAAAATCCTTAGAAAATGCAAATAATTTGTATAAATCTTCAGCTTTAAAAAATTAATGAACCAATAATATTTTGGAAATATTCAGACTGAAAATTCTTGTACCTTTAAAAATGTATTGCATTTTTCTAGGCTAAATAGGTCCAATCTTTGGGAGAAATTAAATTTCTCTCTCAACATGTTTAAAATGGCTGAAGATTGAACATGTTTCTAATGAATGCACCTCATTTATATAAAAAAGGGTGGTAGCTTCCTGAAAAAAGCAGTTTTAGAGGAATTGCAGAAAAAATAATTCTTCACAGTTGGCCATTATATACTAACTTTAATTTCTATTATTTTCCTTTTTTTCTGTATGTGATAAAATGTCTTAAAGTCACTTGAATTGATTTGTACTATTCAGATTTCCAGATCTGAAAGAAAATTATATTGATTATACCTGATGAGTTATGACTTAAAAAAATAAATTACTATTTGACTTTTAATTTGACTCATCCAAAAAATATTGATAGTGTTCATATATTTTATAGACTACATCTTATATGAATCTCAACTGGTTTATTATAAGACCTACTAGTATAATTTATCTAACAAAATGATTTGTGTTAACATAAAACAATTTGGATGATTTTTTTAAAATTCTTTGAAATAGTATTGATCATTCACTTGTGGATAGTATACTTTTCTTATCAGCCATTTATTGTTAATTTCTTATTACATACTGTAATAATGTTAAATTCATTGGCTTATGGTTGCAGGACAACTATATAATATTTCTACTCCTGAAAGTGATCAATCAGAAATTTGGAATCTATTATTTGTTAAAAAAAAAAAGAGCATCTGGTTTTATTTTAAGGAAAAAATTAATTCACTCTTTATTAACAGAATTATTTTGATTATGTAGATTGATTTTTGTGTGTATGTGATTTTTTTTTTTTCTTTTATTACTAATTGATTTTTATTAGTTTCATTTTCATTGGTGGCCATTTTTGTTTATATTGGAAATAACAATTCAATTTATTATAAAATAATTACTTTTATTTCAAGTTTGGAGAAGATAATTCCACTGACTTTTATTTCCAGGGATTATATTTCCCCTAATTGTTCCAAACCAGTAATCCTTTGTCCTTCAACTTCCATTCCATGCACACTTAATGACATTTCATTTTGATATGCAAAAGAAATACTGTTGATACTTAAAGTGATCAATAAAATATTCTCTGAATATTTTTATTCTATAAAAATTAATATTTTTCATTTTATATTGAAAATCAAATATCTCTTATGGCCTTTTCCTTTTGTTATAATTATTATATATAAGGTTTTGTAATACACACAAAAAAAAGAGATAACTTTTCAAATATTTACTGTTACAGTTCCCTGTCTCATCATTATCTAATACTTTTAATTACCAACTTTTATCAAATTTTGAAATATGAACAAACATGGTTGTTAGAAAATTAACACTTACTACTGAAAATATAAGCTGTTAAAAGATGGCCATGTTTTGAAGTGTTGACTTACGCAAAAGCTTTTCTTTGAAACTTGAAAGAATTTAAGGCAATATATTGAGCCAAATTTAAAATTTACAAGAGTTTCTATAATTTTTTTCTTTTACATGCAATAACCTGAATTTCTTTATTAGTTTTATAGGGTTTTATCCCTAATCTAAATCCAGCAGACCCTATTAAGTTGTGGTATTATTCTTCGATTATTCCAAAACAAAACTAAGAATTATTTCTGTATATGTTCAACATGCTAAATGTCAGAAAATCAGGCCCTTGATTTTAATGACTTTTAATGTAATTTAATAACTATTTGAGACATTCAAACAAAAATTAATAATTCTGAACTAGCATTTAGAGTAACACTTTCCTCCTGCCTCCACTTTTGTTTCCTGTGTGTGCATGTGTGTTTTACCAAAAGACCAAAGATCCTGTAAAGAAACCTGCAACTGTTGTTCAAAAAATCAGTTCCAGCTGAACTGGTGTGGTCCACTTTGTCCCTTCCCTTTCCCACTTCTGTTGTTTTGACTTATTGTTTATTTATTGCTTGACCTGTTCCAGCAAAGACCCCAAACATGTAGTACCCTCTTGCAGCAAAATGGCAGCCCTCATAATCCTGAGGCATCAGGCTCTGCAGCTGGAATGATACCACCAGTGCCACCCCCACCACAGCCCCAACAGTCAGAAGAGGAACAAGTGGAAGTGGTCCACTTTGATGTGACTCACTCACAGTCTTTTACAGAAGACCTTGATCTCATTGAGGTGATTAAAACCAAAGGGATTGTACATTGCAGCTAGTACTTCATTGTCATCATTGTTTTATTTTTTCTGTTCTGATTGCAGCACTCCCCAACCCCACTCCTCTAATCCAGTCACTTTATACATATTCTGAAAGTTTTTTTTTTTTTTTATATACATACACACTCATATAGCATTTGCTATCGGAGGTTTGTTCAGTAGTGTTTGCTATGTTGCTGTTGTATTCTTAATGTTGTTGATTTTGCTGCTGTTACATGTATGTGAATGTCTCCATATATATTGCTTCTAGATTTGTTTTCATGGTTAGGCTAACAGAAATTTCCAGGAAGCAGATTTTTTTTTTCTTGAAAATCTTGATTTCTTTGATCATTGAAAAAACTTTTTTGATGTGCAACTTCTTGTTTATCAGGAATAAAAGATAATATCTAAAAAATAGTTGTATAGATAGCAGTATCAAATCTGATAAATTTTGTCTTACACACATAAAATAATTATGGCTATGTGATATATAATAATTTCTAATTGAAATTGTAAAATATAAGCTAATTATATAATCACAGAATGAAATTTGTTGAGTTTAGTAATTAAAATCAACTGAGTGTTCTAATCTCACATCTATCAATGATTAATTTAAAACAATGTATCATTTGATACTTGAATTTTGTGACTTGACCAACATAAAGATAATTGCTGGAATTTTTATTTTCTGCAAAAATGCTTTAGAGAAAAGGAATTAGAAATTTCTTCTTGAATTGCCAAGATGAAGATTTACAGGGAATCGGATCATTGCTTCAAAAAATAGGAAACCACTTGATGTGTGTGTGGACAGAAGTAGTCTGTAGATAAAACTAAGATAGAGATGCAAATCCAGTTGAATCTTTGATTTAATACACATTTGATCTGTTTAAATGTGATTCCATTTCCCTTAAAATTTGTTCCTCAAAAAATTCATTTGGCATTGCCTGTTAATAACTAATGAGAGGACAATTGTCCTTAGTTTGCTTACCTCTATTATGTTTTTGTTAGCTTTTGATACTATCTTTATTGAAGTAACCAACCCTAATTTCTATTAGATGTCACCGTACAATCATTAAATATCAGGAACTAATCATTGGATATTATCTACCTAATCCTTATTAAATCTTTTTTTATATAACTTTTACATCCAAAATCCATTTTCAGTGCATTATATGCATTTATATTTATTATTTATCAAACAAGGAATTTAGTGTCTTATAATTTAGACTAAAGATTGCTCATACCTTGTTTCAAATAGACTTAGTGAAATTTATAAGTAAAATTGCTATTAAAAAGAAAAGTTATCAACTTAATTGTTTTTTCTTTTAGTAGACTATTTTTCATTTTTAAAATCTACTGGCCTCATTTATATATTTTGTTTTTATATATATATATATATATATATATATATATATATATATATTGTGTCTGAAGTTCAGAATGTTTTCATTGAAACTGTAAACTCTATTTTAGTTTTATTTATAATCCATATTAAAGTTGTTGACAATATATATTTTTTTAATAATCCATTATTCTATATGGCAGTAATGTTTAAAAAATAATCACTTTTGAACTGTGATATTTTAAATAAAATCCAAGCATTGCTTTTAATTTTCAATATAGATGTAATAAAATACATTCCTCTTATTTACATGTTTGTAAGAGGTAAGGAAAGAAAGTTGTTTGCATTATTTAACAATGCAAAAGGAAATGATGGTTGTTACTACATAATCTGTCTAGATGTCATTGAACCAAATGATTCTACTGATATTCCCTAAATTTTACTGTTGGATATATCAATATGTAAGCTAGCTAGAGTATTTTAATATAAAGTCATCAAAGTTGTGATGACTTCTTATTTCAAAATTTTTTTGCAGCTGTGTTCTCTGATGAACTTGAGATAAATTTAAAGTAAAAGAACAAAAAGATGAATGTAACAGTATGAATAAGTAATGCATTGAATATTAATTGGGGAAAACATTCCCCAATTTATGAAGTAATATTTTTATTTTATTTTATTTTATTTCAACATTGCATTAGTATACTCTGCTGGTAGATTATGAAGATGAAAAAGATATTCATATTTTTGAGCATCATGATGTAAGTTTTAGTTTTCTTCCTGCTTGTTTTTATTTCTATTTATTTTTGCTATTTTATCTTTTGCTCTTTCTCTTTTCCTCTTTCCTGGCCTTCTTGGAAGGTTCTGGTTTGCTAA